GGGGGGCGTGGCAAAAAAAAAAAAATTTTTTTTGGGATCGCCTTCAAAATATCTTTAATCCTAGGGGTGGACTGGAAAAACTTTTTTTTTTTGTATGGGGACCGATCCGCACTAGTGTACATATCTTAGTGTCTATCATAATTAAAAGTTCGAAATAAATTCCTTCAGCTATAAAATTTTCAATGAATTCCGCGATCATATACATATTTTACCGGAATTTGGAAAAAAATAAATAAATAAAAAATAATTACCGAACATGTATAATTACATTTTGAAAACGATTCAATACGAAAATACAGAAAGCTGTGAGTAAACAATGCTAATGAGTTACTAAGAAATGTAAGTGGAGACTGGCCAAAGCTCGATAGGAGTATTATTATGCGCATAAGGAAATACGAGGAAAGCAGCGGAGTCCGACAGGCAATCAGATGCGTACATAGGAAGAGAAGAAAGGGTGAAGTACATACATACATACATATGTAGCTATGATATGTACCTAAATGCATATTTTAGTATCTAAGTAGCTATTGTTCCTTACGCTGTGAAAATGTGTTGCCATTTTGCTTTGTGCTACTGTTCTTGTTGTTGCTAGAGGATGTGAGACATTAAAAATCATGTTGATTAATAACCCAACGTTAGTCAAACATAATATTGTCTAACTGAACGCAAATGTGTAAATATTCGAATCTCACGAATGGCCATGTAAAAACTACATACACATATATATACTCACATTAGTCTAATGTCAAGGAAAAAAAATCGGTTCACCTTCTCTAAGGTTATAATAAAATTTAATTTGTTTTACTCATACATAACTTGCTGCCTCGTATGACTTAAAAATACAGCAAAACTTTTTTCCCGTGAGAGTTGTCAGAGATGAAAAAAATTCTATGTAATATTTGTATTAAAGTGTGTTTACCTGATCAAATTTTCGTTTTCAAGGTACCAAAGAAAAGGTGAGATTTATGTAAACGTCTTTATTTTTCTAAAAAGTTTGGGAGTGAGGGCCGCCAGGAGTTTAGAGCTGAACAGGCAAAAAGTGGGCGGTGAAAAATCCGTACGCTGAAAGTTTGGCAAGTAAAAAAAAATCATTTTTACTTACAGTGATGAACAATATTATTTGCAGTGCATTTTTTGCAATTAGTGTGCAAAATTTTATTTGTGGTAATTTTTATAAAAATATAGTTCATACTACACTTTGTGCAAAAACGCAGGAAAATTCAATAAAATTGTATAGTAATTTGCACTTTGTTAAACTAAAATTCAATGGGTTATAAAACTGCATACTTAGAAAGTTGCAAATTAGTATGCAAATTCATTGAATTTTCCTGAGTTTTGCACTACGTTTAGAGATTATATTTTTATGTTTTTTGGTGTAGTATGAACTATATTTTTATAAAAAATTATCAAAAATAAATTAGATTCAACAGTTTGTATTGAGCTTGAGGCCGTTTTTAATGAAAAATTTATTGTAGAAAAGCAACAACGATTTGAAAAAATGGTAGAAGTGATAGCTATTTCGGAAATCACCACATTTCCTCATCAGACTTCTTTCAGTAGGATTCGAACTGACGATCCCACTGACTCAGCCAGTTGCTTACGCATACTTTGGGAGCAGCAGTGAGTGCCGTCGGCATGACACAATGACACTGTGGCTAGTCATGCCGGCTGGGCGGGGTTCTTGCCTCACTGCTGTGCCCTGGGCCATAGCAGAGAAACAGACATGCCTGTCAAACATCCCAACGGACGGACACACAACAATTAAAAAATTAAAAAAAAGCAGTTACAAAAAAAAGGCTGAAAAAGAAACGTTACAATTAAACATTTAAAATAAACTGAAACCAAAAACCAAACTACGAATTCTTGTTGATTTTTTCCACTATTTCACTTGTTTAGCCAACTACAATTAAGCGCAGCTATTCCAGTGCTATTTAAACTTGATCATGTTGTTGTTGGTTTCTGTTGGTTTTTGTGCCTTCTTTGTAAGAAGTACATACAGATGCGATCAACTAATTATCAACGAAATTCAAAATGATATTGTTTGCAAAAATTGCAAAAAAATAATAAAACTTAAAAAAATTTTCATCAAAATTTCAAAATTTCTAATTAGAAAATTTAGAAAATTTTCGGCTAGCAGTTTTCTAGCCCATTCATTTGTTGTATGACAAGGTGCAAGTTTCAAGTCGGTAAAAATTACTGTTGATTTTTGAGAATTTTTTTTTGTGGAGGGTGTTGCTGTCATATGAAAAATATCTTGATCATGTGTTATATGGAAGAAAATGCGTGCTTTCAACACGCTCCAGCTCAAGAATAGGGTCGAACTGATACGAAATATTTTGGTCATGAAAAAGATTAAATTTTCGTGGGGCATCCTAACGTCATATATATGTACGTATACGTACATATGTATGCATTATTAGCGTATTACATACAGTAGTAGGAGGTGAAGTTGACGTCCTTGTATACAAACTAGATAATGATACGTAAAATGATGTTTAATAGACAAAAGGCAGCTGGGACTTTGTGGCAGCGGAAAATCAGTATAAAAGAAACAAATGACTGTTGATGAGGAACTTTGGAAGCGGATGGCAGGGGGGAGATGAGAACAAATATGGAACGTATGAATGGCAATGCTACATAAATATAAAAAAGCTTTGTCTACAAACATTGCCACTAATATTTGCAAGTGTATCCTTTGGCCAGATTATCAATCTTCGATGCTATGTATTACTATGTACATACATACATACACACAAAGACAATAAAAATGTACATATGCATTCATACACATTCAGGAAAGTGGCAAACTCGTACGTATGTTTATGGCTATGTATGCATGTGTTCTCTGTATAACATCTGTTTCTGTATCAAGTTTTACTTCGCTCCAAACATCTTTCACTCCTCACTAATCTACATGCCATCCTTCAAGAGGAAAGAAGAAAATCCCATAAAATCTTTTGCCTGATTGTTTTGTAACTAACACGCAAAGCACAGGAACATGAATGAAAACATGGCATCGTAGCGAAATGAATGCTTTCACACACATATACATATACATATACATACATACATACATACATACATAGATATGCTTACGTTGTGTGTATTTAAGGAGATATGCAGAATGCAAACGCCATTACATTGATTAAGTGGCAAGCATTAAATCAAAGTTAGTGAAAAATTTGCTAAAACACAAATGAATGGCGGTCGCCAAATGGTGTATGCCAGGGGAGGAGGAAGATGAAAATTGCGGGGCAGAGGTCGCAACACATAAGCGGCAAAGTGAAAAAGCGTTTTTCGGGACGAAGGAAATTGCTCAAAGAAGCAACAATAAAATTACAAGCCCTTTGTGCAGAAGCGATAATTTACACTGACAAAAGTTTTTCTCGACCATTTCATTTCATTTAAGTAATGTTGAAAACCAAGACTCCTACAATTGGTACCTGCTGCCAGAAAGTCTAGGTTTATGGGGAATTGATATTATATGTTCTTGAGAGGTTTTCTTAACTGTGGAAACGAGCAGGATTTTCCAATAACGTATTCGGCGTTGTAGGTTGCTTAAACTGAGTGCGAAAGTGCTTGTGCAGCCGGTGCCAAAGTAAAGAAGCCACTTAAAAACAATTGTATGCTAAATTCCTTAAAGTTTTTGAATATCTGAAGGCGACCAAGTTCTGCCCGTGAATGATGAGATGCTTTTGCTGGAAAGTCACACCACGTCAAAAAACATCACATTGAATCATAATTTATTTTCATTTAGGTAAGTCAACTTTTTAGTTTTTTCTTGGTTTATTATGCCATCAAATTACTTTTTATACATATTTTTATTATACTTATCTGGTTTTAATAATTACATAGTATTTAGTTTTTGAAATTTGGCATTCTGCACATTAACTTCAATAGTGTCATAACCAGGGCTGAAAAGTTTAAGCTTTTGCTTATTTTGCTTATTCATGGTTTCCAAGCTTAATTTTAACGACCAAGTATGGACCTTTTAAGGAAATGGCCAGGAAATAAATTGCTATTATTTCGTGTGTCTGAATAGTAAATAGTATCCAAGCAAATCGTTGTAGAAAGCAGATTTTCGTACTGTTTAAAATTAGGCTCAATAAATTTTTCGTGATCATTCCTTGGGCGTTTTTTGCGTTATTTAAAACCGTAACGTAACTTCCATTGCATTTCTGCTTGGATAAAAAAAAAAAAAAAAAAAGTTTGTCTCTACGGGAAGGCATTGGTGTTATTGAAGAGATTAAAAATATTTTTTTTCAAATGGATAATAACGATCGCAGATCTCTATTATTTGGGAATATCAAGCATTGTGATTTTTCAAGCCTTTAAATAAACTGAATAAAAAACAAAATATTGAACTGTACTTACATTTTTTTGTTGTTTTTCAAGCATATTTACTAATTTTTAGTGCTTATCTAAGCGCTTGACATAGATTTTTTCGTGCTTATTTTCTTCGGCCCTGGTCATAAATAACTCAAAAAGGCAAAACTCGAAAAAAACGGACTCAAAGTTTTGAATTTACATATAATCTATACAGCTATGAAATTTTTACCCAACATATAAGCTTTGTTGCTTTGCATATTCAACTCAATATTTGTATTTTTTGGATTATTTATGCCACTATTGAAGTAAATGAGCTACATTTATTTTTTAAGTTTTATCTTATTTAGTTCTGGAGTTTGTGCTTATTATTTATGTACTTATTTATTCGGCAATTATCATTTATTGAAACCCTGTCCCTTCGTTAATTTTGTTAACTTTTATTATTGTCTATGACCAAAGTAAGAAACCACTCTTATTTTTGTAGCTCAAAAATTTTGCGTTATATAGCGTTAAGGTTAGGTTAGGCTGTAGCGGTCGTGTATAAGACGTACTTAGCCTCAGGGCCCATTGTGAGGCCGCATGTTGGGTCAGCAACTCGCAATTGGTCTTAAACCCATTTTGAACTTAGATTTCCATGCATGTAAGGTCCTCCAAGTTGTTGAAAAATTGCCTACCACAGAGTGGGTGGTCTTCGTCTGGATGGAGTAGGGCAGTGTCCCGGAACCCATATAATCTTTGCGCGAAATGACTCAGCCATCTTGTTAAGAGATACGTGGCATTTTATGGCTACCTCGGAGGTTTTCATTGCCGTCTAATTGTCAGTGAAGACGTAGATATCAAACGCTATCTCCTTCATATAATTTCCCTTATTTATTTTCTCAGTGTTTAGTAAAAGTCTTTTCGTATTTTGGACTACAAAAGTAACCTTCTGCTTTCTGACCAACACCGCTAGCTTCGTAATAAGTGGAAATCGAATTTTCCTATATAGTGTACATGGCTGTATGTATGTACACAAGTCTGGGCAAGCGCCAATCTTTGCAATTAAAGCACGAGCATACACACATATGCTAATATTTTCCCCAATACATATCCATAAATAAACAAATATGTATGCGTATACATATGAACATATGTATATTTACTTATATATGTATGTATGTTCATAGCTTCATATATTTGTATCTTACTTCATGCTTCAGCTGGTACAGCATTAAACGCTTAACGCTGAGCTTTCGCAATTAATTCTAAGATTAATACAACCGAAGGGAGTAATTCATATAAATGCATGTGGGTGATTGTATGCGTCTAGGCGTGTGTGTGTTTTGCTGGCTATACATACGGATACCAGTGCGAACTTAGGAAGTAAAGCGTGTAGCAGCGGATGTTCAACCGCAAGCAACAATAGCTAACGATAGCTGCAATATTAATAACTAAAAGCTGTAGATAGAGCTCAGGAAATGAGAAACGGATCCGATTGTGTTAATCTATACGTGCGTAGGTGCTTGTTTAGGATATTTACTGTACTGATGAATTTAATTGAAGCAATAAGAATAAGGTAAAGAACTACATAATATGCACATATATATGTATGAAGCTATGTTCTAGCCAAAGCAAATGAAAGCTTAAATCATTTCCATCATATGCCTAAATAATTGAGACTTTAATTTTTATTTTAACCAATTTAAAAAAAATAAAATGAGGAGGTTATCAATTCGTCGGAACATTTTTTTTATGTACATATGTTACCGCATAACTTCCGACCACTTTAACCGATTTCGATAATTGTTTTTATCAGAAAGGTGGTACCTCAACGGTGGTCCCATACTAATTTGGTTTAAATTCGATTATAGGATTATTGGAAATTAACGATAATGCTAAATTTTTCCATCCGTCCGTGTACACGATAACTCGAGCAAAAATTGAAATATCTACGAAATTTGGTATGTAGGTTTCCGTTCACCTAAGTTATTGAAGGTTGAAGGTTGGTATTGGAAATGGGCAACATCGGTCTGTAACCACGCCCACTTCCCATATAACGGTATTTTCGAAAAATGCAAAAGCCCCGATATTTTAGTAAATATTGGATCAAAATTGTTGAAAATGTGAGTATGTTATATATGTGAAGTCGAATTTTGGTAAAAAATATTATTATTATGAATTTTTTGGAAAATGGGCGTGACCTCGCCCAGTTATGATGAAATGCTGTATCTCAGTAGCCGCTTCACCAATGCTCCCCTAACTGGGTACGAGCTTTACCCAGGGCTTAGCTAAGAAATCTGTTGAAAATCTTTGAAATCGGGCAATAACCACGCCCACCTCCCATATAACGGTACTTCACAGAAAAATGAAAACTGCGATAAATCAGTAACTACTGAAGCTAATTGACTCAAAATCGATAATTACTATAACCACTTAGCACAAAATAAGACTATTATACATTTTTGGATAATGGGCGTGTCGCGGCCCCTTTAGGACCACAAATCTGTATCTCGGTAACTGATTCATTAATTTCTACCAAACTCGGTGCACTTAATAACTTTAGTACAAGGAAGAAATTCGTTGAAAATTATTTAAATCGGGCTAAAATTACACCCACTACAAGGTGTATCACGGTAGATTTCTATCAAACTTGGTTCAATTATTTCATTAACTCTAATTCGGCATAATATCGCAAATGTAGTTTAGAGAAAGTTGAAACGACGATATTTGATCCCTGCACCGGGTATATAAAATTCGGTTTCGCCCTTTACTTGTTATGGTTAAATTACTGGTAGGCTCAATTTCAAGTCCGTCTCTTCTGGCTGATGTTAGCTTTAATGTTCCCTCTCGTGTATCGAGACACTTTTTTCCCCTATTTCTGAAATGTTGTAAAACTAATTTTGAATTGCGCGACCCACTCCGTTGCTTATGCCAGGATTTTAACTCTCATTCCAGCACGTTTGATTTTTAAGATCCTCTTTTCGGCATTAAGAAAGCGATACTCTCCTCTCTCAATAAATGAATTTGCCGAATATGAGTGTAGTTGTTGTTAGTTTTTAAGCGTAGTTTGATGTCTCTGATTGGCTGTATGTAGATATGTATAAGCAAACATATTTGTGGGTGTACTAACCCTGCAGTGAAAAGCTAAACCAGTATGCACAAATTCCAGTTCATGAACTATTATTTAAGGATAAAAGTCATACCAGTTCGTTATGAACCATAATTATACCAGTTCCGCGCAGAAAAAAGTAAACTAGTTGGTAGAAATTCTAGTTCGAAAACTGGTATTAAATGGGAGAGTCATACCAGTTCGTCATGGACTATAATTATACCAGTTCCACTTACGCAGTGAAATGCCAAACCAGCCAGTATAAATACTAGTTCATTAACCAGTATGTGTAAAGCGACGGCCTGCCATTTCGGCGATTTCGAACAACTTATGCGATCAGCGACATCTGTCTTTGAATAGGCATAACCAAAACTAAAACGTGGTTAATTGCTTTCATCACAAATGTCGGCTGTGGCGTCGAGTGAAGACTACCGATTCTGGTTCTGAGATCTCAGGTTCGAGTGCGCGTGGAGGTTGTTAAAGTAAAGTAAGTAAATTAATTTAAATAATTATAATTATTTCAATTTAAATATAAAATAAAAATTGTACATAAATTTAATTTGATTTGGAAAAAATCTAAATACTCAAATACCATAAAAAAATTAAAATAAATAATTTTTTGTTCTTTTTAAAACAATAAATTTTAAAATTACACAAAAGATATAAATAAAAAAAAATAAACAAATAAAAAAAAGCAAAAAAAAAGTTTCGCTCACTGAGATTCGAACTCGGATCTCTTGATTTGGCGTGCCAAAGCTTTACTCTTTCGACCATTGCCACTGTTGCAGCGCCGCGAGCAAAATGACATACTTATGCTTTTCATGGGGGATGAATAGGCAGTTTATCCCACCAACTGCTAACATTGAAAAAGGATACAACGTGAACTAGTTGGGCTGAAACGCAACTGGTAGCATTCTGGTTCACAACTGGTAGCTTTTCCTGCAGGGAATAGACTACTAATGAAACTGTTTAAATTAGGCAATATACAAAGTTGCAGATGAAGCTTGATTTTACAATGCAATGCTGCTCCAACATTAATTTCTCTAACTTAAGTAGTTTTAATGGTTAGTAGAGTTAATTAGTTTGTGTTTTAGTAATGCTGTATTTAAGATCAAATGCATAGATAGTTTTGAAAAACTGGATACGTACTATACCCAAATATGTATAAGAAATTCTCGTATAAGGGACTTCGCTAATTCAAAATGGATTACAGTACTTGTTTAATTATGCAATAGAATATTTTACTACATATGTACATGCAAACATGTTTGATTACGGAAAATCTTTTATTCTCTCTTTTTCCATGTTGCAGACTACCCATCGGCCGCAACAGCAAAGACGAAGCTAGTGCGTGAATCGCAACTACTTTCCACTGCCGCTTTTTTACTTATCACCGCAATCAACAGCCTTTTGGCGCCCACAATAGAAGCAATTATGCAAGTAGGCGATGGAAGTCATCCAGAGACTGCAACCGAACGAGGAAAAAATGCCACCGAAAATCAAATTATTTGTCAGCACTGCCCAGAAAACGCAGATGGAGAGCGAGAGCGAATCATAAATAGTTCTAGCGAAGAGAGTGCAATAGTAATGGATGGGTTGATGCACAGAACGCGGTGATAAGCTGCAATTGAGTGAATTAAAATTATTAATTATATTATATACAACAAAAAAAAGTATGAATAAAGCGAATTCAAAAATTAATTTAAGCGTAATATTACTGTAGAATGTGTCAAAATTAAATTAAATAAACATTTAAATTGCGTACATACATACGCACATTAGGATGGCCCCTAGTTATATGGAGAAAAATAAATGTGTTTGGATTCTCGGTCTCACCCCCTAGAAATGTGTGAATGGCCTAAAGACCGGAGTATACAAAGTTATAGATCAATCAAAAGAGATTTAGAGGTGGCTCAAAGCGCTCAAAATTTCCCATGTTTTTATATGGGGAAAAAACTATTTTTCGTAGAAATGGTAAAGAATTCTTAAATATCAAAATTTTTCAAACGGCAAAATCACTCTTTAAGACTCTTCAAAAAACATTACCCAATTGGTTATCTAAAATTTGTTTAATATGAACGATTTTTTATGCGTTCCCCCATTGCATTTTGTCGGCTTTTTGGGGACCCATAGCAAATAATTAATATTAATAAATTATTAAATAAACGATTGAGAGTTTTTTCTGAAAGTCACCTGAAGAGAAAAAGAGTTTGTTGATTGAAAAATATTGATTTTCTACCATTTCCACGAAAAATAGTTTTTTCTCCATATGAAATACATGGGAAACTTTGAGCCACCTGTAAACCTTTTTTAATTGACCTTTAGACGGTTCACCAATTTCTAGGGGGTGAGATCAGGCACCTATGCTCTTTTCGAAATAAGGGCCACCCGAATGTACATACATACGTATATACATTTCATACACACATCGATGCACCTCATGGGGTTGGATAAAGGTGGGCGGACTTGCGCGGCAGTAGCTACTACATATGTACATACATGTTTGTCAATGGCTTATTTAATCTTGAGCGCTTTCAAAATTAAACCGTAAGCTAGTAAACTTATTGTCTTGATGAATTTCACACCATATACACAGTTAGTGCCAAATATTGAAAAATTGTACGCCACTTTCTTTTTCTTGAAAACACTCAAAACTCAAATGTGTTTTTTTTTTGTCTTATTATTAGCTTTATTTACATACATATCGTCACCTGAAATGCAAAAGGCCGTAATCAACATCGCCATTGAAATGCAAAAGGCCACAGTTAGCAAAAAAAAAATCAAAAATTCACTTTTTGATTGATTACACCGCGCCACAGTAAATTTTACACACATAAAAAAAATATATATATATTTGCAAAACTTTTTGGCAAAAATAGTAAAACTGCGTTTTTAGATTTTTTCTCTGACGTCAGGATTTTTTAAAAGGACTCTGAAATTTCAAAAATATGATGAACTCAAAAATTATTTAAAAAATTCAGTGCAATTTAGAATAGTAATTTGGGTATCAAATAAAAGAGAAAATTCTATAGAGATACAATTTTTTAGTACACCAGGACGAAAGCGGAATGTGATGCATTTCGTTAAACTTCAAATATTAATGCAAAAAATTAATTTGTTAACTAAAGCTTTATGCATTTCAGTAACGATTTTAGTTACGGCTTTTTGCATTTCAGGTGACGATATGTGCATGCATAGATGCAGACTGTGACATGAGACTTGCTGTAGTATTGAAAAATAGTTTCTTTCATGACGCGATATTTAAAATTTTACTGCTACTTTCTCAATGCATTGCCAAAACAAAGTGTGATTTGCAGGAAAATCTTAGCAAACACTTTTTGATTTTTAGTTCTTAAAGTAAGAAGATATAAGGTATTGTTGTGTGAAACATCGTAGCAATGAAATGAATAAAAATTCTTTCTGTTTCACAAAAAGTCTTTTAATAAAGTCATTGACTTGCTTGGGATCTTATAGCCAAACAAAGTACAGTTCTATGAAGTATTGCAAATGACAGGGCGAAATATTATTTACGGTTTGTATATGTATGCACGTATCTGCGAAAATTGCTCGACTGTTTTTAGATCACAACAACTTAGTTTTTCTCAATTTAAATGCTTCTAAATCCATATAACATAAACAATTTTTGAGTACGTTTTTTACCAATTTTCGTTAAACTTCCCTTGGGTCTGTATTGAATATTTTTTTTTGTTAAATTTTTAAAATGAAATTTTCCACATTTCTGATTGCTTTGTTTGCCTTTGCTTCCTTGTTTCGGAATATTTCGTTTCAAATAAATGCTTCGCCTATAATTTTCCAATTCCCCCAATTGGTGTTGAGAAAGCTTTTCCCACACAGAATAAATTTGCTTCTTTGTTTTATACCAAGAGAAAACATAGCGTTGAAAAGGCAATAGTATTAAAAAAAAAAAAAAAAATGTTTGCCAAAATAAAACTCTGTAGCATTCCTCTGTGAGCGAAATCAAAATCGGAAAGTTCATTCCTTGTCGTAGTTACTACGCACACATACGTAAAGTATTTATATGCACTTGTGTGTACATGCGTATGTATATACATACATATGTATGTATATGGACTTGCATAAATATCTTTTGACCTATATGGTAAATGTTTACAGCTTTGTTTACACAGTGCAAAAATTGGTAATTGTTTGCAGCCAAAACTATTGCCATTGTTGCATCTGTGTATGCATTGTGTTTTTGTGGCAAACATGTGTACGACTTTTTCAATTTTATTTTACGATTTCTGTTCGGCTGCAAATCTTTTGCTAATTGTTCTTTTCATCGTCCATTTCTGGTGGCTTCATTACAAACAATGTGGAAACCAATTCAAAACATCAATTTCTCTCCAAAGCGAAAGTCAATTGTTTATACATATCTACATATGAAGGTCGGTAGCCTACTTTACCTAACTCCAAAACTTAAGTAAGTAAATGCATACATACATATTCACAAACAATTTTTTTTGCTTACAAAACAATGTATGTATGTATGTATGTATGTATGTATGTATGCATTTGTGCTTATGGCAAATCGCTGGACTAGCCAGTTTCGTTTATTGCAATTTTCAGATTTTTCCACTTTTACATCCCCTTCTAGATTGTGGCCACCACTATTCTTGCTATAGTCCTGGTTTTGGTTTTTGCCCTTTTCAACTTTCCTTTGTTCTTGCATTTCTGTTATTTGCCCATTCTTCGGCCAATTTTGTCGGCTTTCCTTGCACATGCGGCGAAACATTTCATTTCACCAACAAATTTCTTTGCTTTTGTTGGTATTGCCGCCATGTCTGTCTGGTCATTGGAATGCAACAGAGAATTTTTAATTGGTATCAAATTACGCTGAAGTTTCAGCAGCAATACTTTCTAAATTCTCCATTATATGCAAGATGCTTTTCCTTTTTTGTTGTTAGAGTTGTTTTGCATTAGCTGGCTGGGGTAAGAGAAGAGCCTCCTCTCGTGTTGCACAGTTTTTTTTTTTGTTGTCTCACATGCCTAGTTTTGTATTTCTTTTTAGCTAAGAGTAGTTAGTTAGTAGGCTGCTTTATCGTGCGCTTTGTTGCTATTTTCATTTAACTGACTTCCTGTTGCAGAGACTGTTTAACGCCTGACTAGTACTGAAAAAGAGAAGAATATAAATGTTTCCCATTTTAAAGATTTATGGTGTTATCTTAAAGAGTAGCTCTACAGATTTTGATTAAATTTTATAAAGTTCTAAGCTGTAAAGAACAAACTTACAATCAAAAGCAGATTAACAAAGGTTCAAAGGGTGGCGTGCATTATGATCACGGGGGCGTTGCCCTCAACGCCGACTAAAGCCCTAGAGACTTTGCTCCATTTTCTACCTGTGGACCTATATGGCAAACTGCAGGCAAGTTGTAATGCTGTTAGATTAAACGCGCTGATCAAGTGGAGTGATACAAGATTTGGACACTCTAGAATTTTGGAAGATCTTCCAGGAAACTTCAGGCGCCTTGACTACACATTGCCGCCTACTGGACTAAAGAATGACTTCCAAACAAGGATCCCCTCAAGAGGTGAGTGGGAGGAGGATTCAATCCTGATCTCTTATTCTGATTCAGCAGCCATCTACACCGATGGCTCCAAGCTAGATCTGAAGGTAGGAAGTGGGATATATTCGCAGGAACTCTCACTCAGCCTCAGTTTCCGTCTGCCAGATTACTGTAGCGTGTTTCAGGCTGAACTAACAGCAATCTACGAAGCTGCTAGATGGCTGATCGATTCTCCTACTAATCTGCATGCAGTAACTATCAAAGCACTTAATTGTGACAAATCCTCCTCGAAGATTGTCATGGAATGTAGACGTATTCTAAATGAGCTGGCAAGGAGTCACTTTACTCGAGTCATAGGGACATACCGGGCAACTGTGTTGCGGACGAGCTGGCTCGGAAAGGAACCCTACTGCCTGCGATCAGTACCGCTCGTAATGCGGGTATTCCGCTATCATCCTGTAAACTATGGCTGCAGAATAACTTTATCGAACGGGCAAATGTAAGATGGTCCGCAGAGCCCACGTGCAGGATAGCGAGACACATCTGGCCTAGGTTAGATAAGCGTAGATCTCGCCCTCTCTTTCGTTTGGAGCGACCGATGCTCCGCCATGTTATCGGAATTCTCACCGGGCACTGCCTTATAGGAACCCACGCTGCCAGGATGGGTCTGCAGCCAAACGACTACTGTCGTAGCTGCCGCGATGAGGAGGAGATCGAGAGCGTGGAGCACTACCTGTGCCACTGTCCCGCCTTGGCAAGAGCCCGTCGACGCTCGCTCCTTCGCTATTCTTTCGAGTGTCTGGCTGAACTGGACTCGGCCAGTATCTGCGATTTTGTGCGCTTTATCAGAGCTACAAATTGGTTCAATTTCTGAGGTAGGAGGAGGGATGTATGAGTCTCAAATATGGTATCACAACGGGCCCATGGAGGCCTAAGTGTGCCCTTACCTGCGCGGATGAGGGCAGCCAGGATAACCTAACCTAACCTAAGCTGTAAAGAACCATTGGAGCTTAAATCGCACGCTTTAATGTGAAACAATCAGCATGTGTATATTAATACGCTAACATAAATTGTGTCACCGTTCGTTTGGAGACTCTGTCGAACCGACTTCAAAGCCAAGAACATCATTGGAGAGTGGTACTTTTCTGTAGTTGAGGGAAGTTTGTATGGCTTCAA